TCCCTAGTTTTCCTGGTGGTCAGGCCTGCTCTTCAGTGACTGCTGAGATGTGCTGCTTAGTCTGGGGTCTTCCAGCAGATGGTGAAGTGCACCTAGTTCCTGTAGGTCTCAGACATGAACTATGATGTCAGCCGATGGCAGACTGTCAGATCCAGTGTCCCCTGACAGCTCAGGGCACGAGTATGACCCAGAAGTGGGCTGCACTGGTGGCGCAATCATGGACCAGTGATCCTGTGTCCCCAGGCAGTTCAGGGCTCAGGCAGAACCCAGACAGGAATCACAGGGTCAACAGTTCGTGGCCCACCTGATTCCGTGTCTCCAGGCAGCTCGGGGTGTGCACAGGAGCCAGACGCAGGCTGCACTGGCAGAGATCTCGGACTGCCTGTCTCTGTGACCTCCAGGAGGTGAGGGCATAAGTGAAGCCCAGACATGAACCATGGTGCCAGCAGTTCATGGACCACCTGCTCTAGGGGCACGTGCCTGGCAGGCCCAGACACAAACCCCCATGTTAGCAGTCCTTGGGCCTTCTGGGTCAGGATCTCCTGTCTGCACCAGTGCATGGAAGGTGGAGACTCCCCAACTAATTTTTAGAAACCTGACCTTTATGGTAGGAATATTTAAAACTGTGGGCCCACCCAGCCTCCTAAGATACCGTCTAAAGTCTGTTCTTTTCTTGGATACATTTTACTGATTTATCTTTTTTCTATACTTTTTATTTGACAGTATAATGCTGCTATAGGCCTAATTCTTTTAACACCTGCCTTTATTCATTCCTAATAAGGCTGGGTTTAAGAATGCAGGGATAATCAAAGAAAGTTTTCTTGCTTATATATATTGTGGACTTTTTTCTTATTTTCACTAGAAAATAAGGCTGTAATGGAAATCAACCAACATTGAGCAAGGACCCAGTGAGCCATGAAATCCTGGTTTTTCTCAAGAAGCGCTCAAATAGCAAAACTTACAAAGTGATGGTATTCTGTAGATGAAATGAGAAACATTTCTCTTAAGAAAGACTAACAGGTGTAAAGTTCAGAGCAGTGCTAATTTTTGATGTTCCTGGATGACTTTCAAGTAATCTGTGAACCCCTGAAACTAGCAGAATTGTTTGTGGACATTTTTCCTTACTTTAGAAGAGAGTGCATTCTGATAATCAAACAAAGAGGCATATTGAGTTTAAAAGGAATAATAAGACCTCATTATAGAAAGAAGGCAGAGGAGACAGATTTGAGTCTGTAAAAGATAGTTGATTAGGTTAGAAGTTAATTCTTCTATTGAAATACAGTAGTGAGTTTTTAAAGAAGCTGAAAGATGTTTTTTGGAAGAACAAATAATGAACCTGTAGGAATTATTAACTGTCCCTTCCAAGAAATAATATGTGCAAAAAAAATACAAGTAGGTTCATAAAAGCTTAGCTCTCTTGCTTTCTCAAGGGTTAGGAAGTGAGAGTGGGAGGAGGTAGGAGTAAGCCGGTTTGCCTGCCCTCAGCCTCCCTCCAGCCACTGTCAGGGTGAGCCCTAGAGATGAGTCGCTGCCCCTTCTGTGGTGTCAGGATATGCTCCCCTCGTTCCCAGTTCTGTTGGGATAGTGCTGGGAAATGGGTTGTTAACTACGTAGTTCTATTACATGTACTTACGTTGTTCAGCGTTAGCTTGCCTCATACCCTCAAAAGAATTTCAACATTCATTTCAAAAGAAATATTCATTTTTATAAAACATTGATATTTTAAGAGGAGAATGTTTGTATCATTAAAGTAAGATTTAAATCAAAGCAAAATACTGTCAGACCCATCCTCCATCTTTGTATGCGAGTCTCTTCTTGAAGTAATTATAAGCGGAATTATTAGGACTGTGGGAGCTCTTGTGCTCTGCGTCGTGCCCAAAGTGGAGTATCAGGTGTCACTGAGTTTCTTTTGATGATGATTGATGACAAGAGCTAATGTTTATTGAGACTTTGTAAAAGGATGCGACTCACAACCCTAGGAGATAGGTGCTGTTAATAGTCTCCCTCACACGAAGAAACGGAAACAGATGCCCTGCTCGACTCAGTGCTGCGCATGTAGAAGGGGCAGAGCTGGGCCCTGGACCTAGTCGTCCGGCCCCCGGGGCCACGCTCAGTGACTGCTTCGCCTCTTCTGCACTTTCACCTCGACTGAAATCATTGAATAAAGCGGTGTCTACAGGCTGAGGAACAGTCCGGGAGAGGCTTGAGTCTTATTATATGGAACAATGGAAACTAAATGAGAAGGCATGAGCAACTGAAGTGGTTATCAAAGACCCCACAGTACTGAAGGTTCACCTGACGGTGGCAGGGTGGAGTTCTCAGAAATACTGCACGAGTCAACCTCTTTCTTTCCCTCTCTCTAGTAAAGTGTTCCCGAGGTACGGCAAGGGTGAACCCCCCATCTGCTGGATGGCTTCGGCTCTCTGTGCAGGGCGAGTATGCGCGCTTTCCCTGTCCTGGATCTCCCAGAAGGACAGGCGCAGGAGAGGCCACCCTGCTGTAGGCCGTCGGGGCTGTGCCAAGGAGCTGGCTTTTTCAGGTGCATTTCTCTGCTGTATGGTGCCGCTGCCTGCCTTTCTCTCTCTCTGAGTGACACCCTAGAAGACTGCTTCACTAGTTACAAGAGACCCTTGTTACTCTCGAAGGTTATTCATGGTGGCCTCACATTCTGTCCGCAGCCCCCATTTTACCGGCTCTTGGTGTTCATTTGTGTGTTCTGTCCTCCTTACTTGATTATGCACAGTAAAGGTGAAGTGGCCCCATTTTCTCAAGTGCTCATCAGTGAACCCCCTTGAAATTTTTCAAAAAGGTAGATTCCCAGGACCCACCCCAGATTTGCCAGATCGCCAACTTGTATAGAAGTAGCTACAGTACAAAGTTGTAAAAATACAATAAAATAAAATTTTTTGTGGGGGTGTTGCTATTGTTTTGCAGTGCTGGGAATTGAACCCAGGGCCGCCTGCTTGCTGGTAGGCGCTCGACCACTGAGCTACATCCCCAGCCCTGCAAATAAGTTTCTTAAAGGTAGAAGCAGTTACTTACAGAGACCTAAAGTTAGAGAACCCTCTAGAGGACTTTTGTTCAGCGCACAGCATACTCATTTGGGTGGTCATTCAGCCACAGAAAGGCATGTAGTTTGCTTGTCGTTTCCTTTAGCAGCTCACGGGGACAATTTCTAGAGCTTTCATAATTTATAGAAATGAAGGCATATTATTAATGGCTACTATACTTTAAAATGGGGATAGAGTTTTACCTTCCATAAATTTCCGTCTGCCCGGGGCTCTCAGGTGCTTCTGTCTAACGTTTTAAATTGGAGACTGAACCATATACACTGAGCTGAATAACAACCGTGCATTCAGTCTCCTTCTCAGTGTTGGTGTGCGCAGAGCTTGTCTCAGGCGTTAGTGATGCTTTCGATTCTTTTTGTTTAAAAACATCACTGTTTTCATCTTGATGGTTAGTGTACAGTGTGACCAGGGGTAATATTCCTCAAAATAAGTAAAAGGAAATAGATTGACAAGTTTGAACAAGGGCAAAGAGGAAAAATAAATTAACTATTGTTTGTAGGCATTGCCATGCCCGTTTTAGAGAGATTAAGTAGATGTACTATTCCAGAGGCAAGGAAATAGAGATAGTAGGTCATCCGTGACCTGGTGGCTTTTATCAGCGAGTGTCATGTTAACTTACTGACAGTGATGGAGGATTTGGTGCATTGGTTCTGGAAGGTGCCGACTAAAATACAACTCAGTGTTGTACCTTACAAAGTGTACGGTCTCTTGAGGAATGAAACGTTCACACAGGTAACCAGCCAGGATGTGGAGGGCAGTAACGTGTGCACGTGCTTCACCGTGCACTTCCTTGTGCTTGCCAGGCAGGCGCTGTGCTGCTGAGCTGTATTCCCAGCCCTGCACTTTCGATGTTACCTCATTTAACCTTCACTGCAAAGTGGCTGCTCATAAAAACGAGGAAAGTCTGGTTCAGAGAGATCGCAGTACTGAAGGCTGCTCCCCTAGTGAGCGGCAGGGCTCAGGTCTGCACGGGGGTGTGTGTTCATGGCAGCTCGAAAGGGTCAGCAGTGCTCAGAAGGGCCAGGCATGCTGGCAGCAGAAGCGGAGGATCAGAAAGGTGTGTGAGAACGGGCACTGGGCCATTTCCTGAAGCACGCGCACCAAGAAGATTGTGCAGGTCTCACCTTTAGCTGGGGATGAGGAGACGCAAAGGGCTGAGTTCAAGAATTACCTGTCTTGGGGGCTGGGGATTTAGCTCAGTGGCAAAGTGCCTGCCTGGCAAGCACAAGGTTGTGAGTTCGGTTCCCGGTACCGGAGAAAAACCAAAAAAAAAAAAAGAATTACCTGTCTTTAGATTTTAATTTTAGAAAGAAAAAAAGTTAGGAAACTTTTCCCCCTTGATACTCTGACTTTAAAAATGAATGACATGTTAAGTGCCAGAGCTAGGTGTGGTAGTGCACACCTGTAATCCTAGCTATCTGGGAGGCTAAGGCACGAGGATCACAAGTTCAAAGCCCACCCTGGGCAATTCAGCTGCTTAGCGAGACCCTGTCTAAAAATAAAGGGTTGGAAATATAGCTCAATGTGAAAACCCTGGGTGCAGTCTCCACTACTGCAGAATAAAAGCCTTTTTTTGGAGAGAGGGTTTCGCTATGCAGTTCAGGCTGGCCTTGAACTCACTTTGTAGCCTAGGCTGGCCTCAAATTCATAGTGACCCTCCTGTCTCAGCCTCCTGAATTCTGGGATTACACTCGTGCACCACCATGCCCAGCTAAAGCCATTTTTAAGAACTGATTTGTTTGTAATACGTTTTTATTGTGGTTATAATGGTTAAAAGTAACTTTAAAATGAGAATTCTGATAACACAAAAGTGTTCATTTCTTCAAATCAAGCCAACTCAAATTAAAATTAGAATATGGATTTCATTTTAAAGTAGCTCATGTTATGATATGCAGAATTAATGGAAGTTTATTTTTTTCTTCCACTGTTCAGGAAATACCAGAAAGGAACGAGAGTCCGGCTGCGGCTCTTAGATCTTGAGCTCACTTCTAGGTTCCTGGGAGCAACCACAGACACGACCATCCTGGAGGCCAACGCAGTTCTCTTAGGACTCCAGGACAGCAGAGCCACCAAACCTAAAGAGGAACGTCCCGAAGAAGAAGTGAAGTTTGCTTAGTGCATTCACTCCTTTGTGGAGCGCAGATTTTCAGCAGGAATGTGACTAGAAAATTGTGCATAAACGATTGAAGAGGATGTAATAAATGAAAACTGTAATTGTAGTGCTTGTTAGAATTTCTTTCAGCTTCCCACCACCTCAGTTTTTCCTTTGCTCGGGATAATGTGGAGTAAAGAGTGCTGCAAACCCCGTCACTCGGTCAGTGCGCTGAGCGACCCCAGCTCCTGTGCATCGGTCTTTGGCAGCCCACCTCTGCTCTGGCGCGTCCTTTGCAGTCCTCTGTTTGCAGCACCTCCAGCTGCCTTCAGCCTGGAGGAAGGCCTCAGGGCCCAGTATCTCCTTCAAATATCTATTCTGTTAGTTTGTTATTGCTATGTTTGCGATGTGTAAGAGTTACATTCATTTTGGGGAAGTCGTACCTTGGTTCACGAACTTCATCCTTTCCACGATTCATGGTATTGCTTACAGTATGGTTGCAACCGGAGTTGTGAAGCAAAGTCTGCAACCGGAATTGTGGAAAGAATGAAGTTCATGAACCGAGGCACCACGTACTAATGAAGAAACAAATGGGAGTATTGACTACCACTACCCTGCTGCCAGTGCACGGTAGTCATACCACCTGTTGTTCATTACCTGTTGCTAAGTGACCAAGCATCTCCAAAATTTAGTAACTCCTGAGCTCATAGTCCTGATTCAGGGCTGTCACAGACCCTCCTCCAGGTTGTCCACTGCAGCCTGAGTCTCGCCCGAGGTTCGGCTGTGAAGCATCTCCCAGACTCACCTTGGTGTTCGGGAGGCTTCGGTTCCCTGAGGCCTTTCAGACGGAGGGCTTCAGTCCCTTGCTTCTGGGGCTTTGGCTGGAAGTCATCTTCAGTTCCTTGCCCTGTGAGCCTCCTCAGATGGCACCTTCCTTTATCAGAACCAGGGCAGACAGGCAGGAGGAGGCGCATCTTAAGAAACCTGATCAAGGAAGGTGCACCTCAACAGGGCAATATTCTGTTGGTTAAATCAAATTACTGAAGGGAAAGGATAATGCAAAGCCACAAACAGTAGGAAGTGAGGCCCACTGGGGGCTGTTAGAAGCTGTCTACCACAGCAGGTAGGAAGCTGGTGATTTTCTGTTCGGTTCATAGCACTTAGAGCAGAGTAGCAGGATCTGCACCTAATACAGATCACAAGATCATGGACTTTGGGCGAGTATCATGATTTGATAAGGCTTTGGGAATGGGCCTCACAGGATGAGTGAGTTTTACAGATAGGAGGGTTATAAGTGGGTTTGACCAGGAGGATAACTACAGTAGATTGAATGATCTGCACTAACACTTCATCCTTCTGTAACAGAGCCCTTACTGCGGTCTCATAGTAGGTAGAGTAGGTTCCTTGCCACTGTGGGACTTACTGTTTCTACAGTTGGTATAAGCTAAGGTTATAAAAAGTTCCAGAAAGATTTAGATGAATCTGTGAACGGTAAGCCCAGATTTGAGTATTAAAGGAAACCAGGGAGTTTGAAATACATCCCAAGACTTCTGAGGCTGACATTAGTGGAGGACTATGAAACCTTGAAGCCACAGGCCGGTTAGACTGTCAGGGTGACCTAGTATTGCGTTTCTTATATTCATATCATTTGGTTTTTAAAGATAAACACACATTTTAGCATGAATTCCTAAGGGAAACATGTAGTTTATTTGAAAAGACTGTAACTTTCCCCCCATGTTTCTTTTAAACTAATTACAAAGAACTCAGAGATACCCTGACCCAAAGGAGATAGGACAAGGAAAAATCTATGAAAGAATGTGTCTTATTTCAAGCTCTCAGACCTGTACTCTGTGTGGGATTTTGAACACAGAATGCTAATCTCCAGGTAAGGAATTACATGGACCCTGAAATCATCCTATGAACAGATGAAATCTTTCAAAACCAAAAAGTGGCTCAGATTACTACCATTTGCCTCACAAAATTGCCTGCCTGAAAAAACAATCCAACTGTTTTACCCTACTCTATAAGTCTCAAATCATTATGGTTTGGGAAAAATGCACATGAGGCTATGATAGCAATAATTAGTTCAAATGAATGAATAAAAGAAAGCAAGATACTGTGTTTTTTCCAGGCAACATTTAAATGCAGAAGCTTTCATTTTAGATGTAGTCAATACCGCAGAAGCCAGTAGATAAAAATGATGTCCCAGCTCCCAAAACCACACCGAAAGGAGTGGGAGTTCTACCAGTCAGGCAAAGATTGTGGGGATACTGGAGCCCTCTTGGTTGGAAATAATGGTATGTCTGAGTTATGTTCCTACATGACAATCTTAGATGTGTTTAGTGATGTCCAATATTCCAGTAAGTTTCCAAAACAGATGACAATTGAAAGTAATCCCATGCCTGTAATTGTCTTTTTTCAAGCAGTCTGCTCCGTCAGTCTTCTCAGTCTCCGGTAACATTCCTTTTCCATTTACACTCTGCTGCAGGTGTTACCAAATTTGCAGTGTCTAAGGAAAAGCCCTGGAGTATCTGCAAGTGGATATGATCATCAGCCCCCAAGTATTTTAATTTAAATGCTACTTGATAGGCATGGAGCGAGAACTAGAAAAACCAGAAAAGGTAGTATTTCACAGAGAACAAAAAGGAGAGTGAATGTAAAGTTGAGTCCTCTAGTAAGCCAGAAATTAAAGCCTTATTTGTGTGAGATGAATTAGCTCCACCATGGTTATCTTCTAAACAATTTTCCAAGACTGCCTACAGCGCTGGAAGCAGTGTAGGGTGGATGTGGGCTGGATGGCCACTTGAGAAGCTTCGTAATGTGCAAGACTACAAAGCTTCCATGGTTATTCAAGAGACAGATAGAAAACTCTCCTGCAGCTAAAATTCCCCACAGGAGGAGGATTGGTTTTAAGTGCTTCCATCCTGCCCCAAGCAGAGAAGTGTCTGCTTTCCCCGGGGTGTTTCCTTAGCAACACCTTCAGTTTATCAGGAGGCTCCAAGCCAGCCCAGGAAAGTGAGGCTGGGAGAAAGTTAGGTGTCCTCTCCCACCTGTGGAAGGGCCTGTTTGTCAAGTTCATTCCCTGTCCAGTGCCTTTCTGCTCCCTGTGAAAGATAGATGGACAGCCACAGAAGGATCGCTCTTGTCTGGGGCCTGAACACGGCATGCCTATCGGCACAAAGCACCGCTATGTTTGCATCTATGGAACAAACGCATAGAGAAGCGTGGGTCATTTTCCCATGTTCTCTGCCCCACAGCCTCATCTGTGGGGTCTCATGTCTGTCTGCCTTCACCACAAAATCTGCACGGCCAAGTTGCCCCATATCCCTTATGCTGTTTCCCCACTGTCCGCTTCCTCCCTGTCGTCATCTCCCCATCTACAGAAGTGCTACCTCAGACGCCTTCGCAGGTGTAGATCAGACGTAGTGTCTCAGTCCCACAATTGTGGGACTATCTAAAACAAAGAATCTTTTTTTTGCAATTTCTAATGGCATGTTAATATAGTAGTTTTTAGGACAGCTCTTCATTGGTCAAGAGCACTGTAAGCTCCTGATTGATTAGAAAGAGAAAAATTCCAGTACCCAGGGGATATGTAAAATGTCTACCCAACCAAATCTTGCCTATAAAACTAAAACGCATTATTCATTCTCCTGACCTTAAACATTTCCTGCTTTTAAAAATAGAGAATACTAAACAGGATTTAGAGTTTTCCTGATGACTCAGGGCCACCATTGTAGAAAATAATTTCATAATGATGTGATTTCCCAGGGATTGTAAAGGCAGGTAGAGTAGCTAGTGCTTACCAGTTGGCCCAGATCACCATAGTCTTTGAAGTCCTTACTTGTTTCCTTCGATCTCCCTTACCACTGGCTGATTCTTTATCCTTGTGCCAGAGTACCTGCTTGTGGTGATCCCTGTGTGGGTCCAACTGCTTGCTCACTCTCACTGAAGGATTTTTTGCCTATGTACTCAATGATTCTCAGTAAACATCTTTCAGTTCTTCTGTTTGCTTAACATTTTTCCATCCATTTTCTCTGTTGTCAACTGTCATTTTTATTGGAATTACTATGCTTTTCTGTTTCCGATTTACATATTTGTGTTATGGTAGTCTGGAAGAGAATCCAAAGACAATTTTGTAGAACGATGCATGAATTTTGAGGCCTCTGTTTTGAGGAAACTTGCATGAATTTTGAGCCTCTCTTTTCTATTTCAAAGCCTTTTATGACCTAGTTCCAGACCCACAGCCTAGTTTCAGACATTGGAAGTTGTTAATTTAATTTCAGAGATAGACTGGTTTTAGAAAACTTGGTAATAGAAAGGTTTTAAAAAAGAATAAAACTAATAAAATAACGAACATTTTAAAGATAAACTTTAATAATACAATCACCTAGACCTTAAGTATTTAAATAAATGAATTGACAGGTAGTTGAATTAATAGATTATTTCTTCTTTGAGGTACTTAGTAAACTAAGTTAAACTAAATTAGTTCTTTATAGACCCATCTCCAAGGGAGTTATTATAAACTTCCTTAATACACTATAGAAGCTTCAAAAACAGGGATTGGGTTTAGTCATTTTTCTATTTTCTTTTTGCCAATATAGTGTGGTAAACAGAAAAAACATTAATATTTGTTCCATGTACTTTAACTGATTAATTGACCATTATTCTATAAGATTCTTTGTCACTAGGGAAAGGTAAAATGTTCCGCAAACTCTGATTTCCAGATAGGAGGTGGACATTTTGAACTTGGCGATTGCTGTAGATAATCTCCAGGATCAGGTTACTTTCATGCCTCTCCTCCACGGTCCCCTCGCCGCAGCTCCTTACTCTGCCACCACCCATGCTTCCTGAGTAAGTGATCTTTCACCACATTTTGTTTGGGAGGCTTTAAACAGAAGCTAAGAGGTTAGGTTACACTGGCAGATTTTGTATATCCAGTTTTCAAGTATTTGTCTCAGGCTGGTTCACGTCTCCTTGTAAGGATGTAGCAAAAAGCTAGTTCAAGGCCTCGGTCTCCATGTCTGGCATTTTGCAGGCCTGTGGGGTAAGGGCAGAGGAAGTGACCATGCTAGTGACTGAAGCGCGGGTCTGGCCACCTGTACTCTTGTACTTTTCTGTTGGCACGAG